TGCATATAAGGATATGATACAGGAAGAAAGAATTCTTTCGTAGAAAGAAAAATATAAAGCAATTTTAATCTCTTAGTTCAAGGGAAGACAGAGAGTGTATACACACCTACGCGATTGTGATCGATTCTGAGCCATGTCACCCAGAGTCTTCAATCATTGGTTACGACAGTTACATGGACCTTAACCAAGTAATATGCATCTACTAACATGGCTCAGACTAGAAGTTAATGACTTTGTGGACTGATACTATATTTTGGTTTGGCCACCCATAACTTTCTTCCAACCATCTCCAAAACCGGTCGGTAATGGATTTTGATGTGAATACTTTAATACCAATTCTTTTTTGTTTTACATTGAACTTACATTTGTGTTTGGATAACTTGCTTCAAATTTCACTTGTTTGCCTACAAAAGAATATAGTTTACACATTCACAATTAATATTTATGTTCCATGAAGACGAATACGTTCATGTTAATAGTGAATAAATAATTGGATTGAATTCATTACTATCAGAAAGCGATTCTCTAGTTAACGGTATCATTACGTCATAAATATTGATAGGGGCACAAAGACACAAGTTATAACACTTTGTAATTAGTTAGATTTCTACATAGTATTCTAGATCCTACTAATTTGAGCAATAACTGATAAAGTAGATAATAGTAGAAATTAACATTTTAACGGTAGACAGGGCAATACACACGTTTCGTTGACTTTGAATCTCTTCAGTACAAAAGAAACCTGATCAAAACTCTCAATCACCGAATATGCACTATATGTTCCACAGATATAGTTGAAGTAGAGTTAAGCACCTTGCGTAATATACTTAGGGAGAAAGGATACACTGGAAAGTTTATCAACCAATATATGATCACGAAGGTGAGAATAGACGAAATACAAACGATGAATACGAAATCCTTGTTCATGCGCTTACAATTCAGAGGGGGTTGTGGATAGCAAAATATTAACTCAGAGATTATTTAGAATAATTCAAAAAATATTCAACGCTGGAGAACTACGACCAGTGTTTTCTACAGAACCAATAGTGACACCGAGACCGAAAGATGACTAGTATAGGGGTTGTGGAGATTATTAAGTTTTTTGATTGAGATCATGAACCGTTTGATGTTAGACCACCTTTGGAAAGATTAATCAATTTGACTGCTCCTGTGGAGCAAGTTATATTGGTCGAAATTCTAGGAATTTTCATTTTCGTGCTCGTAAACACCTCCCAGAATGGTTAAACAAAGGTTTGATGAAGAAAGTGAACAGCTCGATATTCGCTTATTTAGTACAAACTGGTCATAATGCCAGTATAAGCCAATCCTTTTCCAATTATTTATATGGTCAGTAATATTTTTGCCAAAAACTTGTCACATTTCAAGTCTCACTGATTAAAATCATGAGTCAATTGAATCTAGACCACCATAGAAAACCTGGAAGCTCTGGACGCTCGCTTCATTCTAGTATGGGACTCCTCAGCAGTGCGCATCCACGATCCCGCACCCCGCGACATTGGAACCCAGGTCCGATCAGTCTTGTGTCAGGCACTTAACCAACTAGACCATTGAGCCGGCATCCAAGTCTTTTAAACGGCTAAAGCAGTAACTATCCTGATGAAGAAACCGGAGCTGAGTGTACGGACGAAATATCTTCAACTACTCCTCTTCCCCTGTTCAATCTCAAGGTCAATTATTCAATAGTAATTTTATCTCTTGAATGGCCTAATTTGACTATTGTACTTACGACCTTTCGTAGTCAACTACAATTGTCTCTGTTATCTTCATTCACATACCTGTATTATTATTATTATTACTATTGGTTAAACATCATCCCCTATACATGATTCATTTACTTTGGACTCATTCTACTATTGTTCCTCTCACCCTATTTGACCTATATTCATTCTGATCATGGATCTTAATACTTTCACTTAACATATAAGCTGATTCAAGTTAACATGGTGAGACTATCATTGATGGACGAGACAATCAGATTTGGGATAGCACGTCTTGAATTTTGGCGCAAAATTCGTTCATCCATTTAGCTAAATAACGTTTTTTCTATTATAACTGATATCAGTTCGTTATGAAAAACCCTAAATCTAATTCCTAATCTCAACCGTCGACCATAAATCATAATCGTTATTCTTCAAACTGTTGTATAATCCTCATTTAGCCTTAGTAACTAGGTCAACATTCTGTAAGTCACTTTAGCATCGCTCAAAGGTCATCCATAAATTATAATCTCATCGAACCTCAAGAGAATTTGTCAATATGAATATTCTTCGATCAAATATTGATCTTTTGATCATGTTGATTTTATAACAAAAAAAGGTGACACTTACTTTTACAGTAAGGTATAATTTTCAATTGGTCATGGATATCATTAGTATTGAACTGAAGATGTATTCTGGTATTGTATAGAAAAGATAACCGATAGTAGAGATGAAAAGAAAACTAAATAGTATATCAGAAGAGGTCTCCTGGTAGATATTACATTAATTACAATAGTTGAGATCATGAGTCAATTGAAACTAGACCACCATGGAAAACTTGGAAGCACTAGATGGCAATTTCATCCTATTGTGGGATTCCTCAGCATTCATGATCCCTCACACAGGACTCAAAATTAACACCTGCGATCTTGCGCGCGAACACTTAGCCTTTAGACCACTAAGCCGATATCCAATGGTGTGAATGTCTAACTTCGACTAATCCATGGTATTGCGTGAACGTCCATCATATGGGTCGGACAGAATGAGAGAAATAATAGTAAAATTACAAATTCAATGGAATATCTAGTGGAAGACCTTGTGTTTTTTATTAAATTATACGAAATTAAAAGGAAATAATATGGTTTGGTGAGTGCTAAATAGATTAGCCTTGTATCCGAGAGATCAATATTAATAATAAATGAATAAAGATAACAAAGAAAATTATATCTTAATATCATGATGGGATCAATCTTAGACCATCATGAAAAACCTAGAAGCACCGGACTGATGTTTCGTTCTAGTATGGGACTCCTCAGCAGTGTATATACAAGATTCTTCACGTAGGACTCGAACCCACGACCTTCGGTCTCACTCATGAAAACCGTTGGATGCCGGCTCAGTGGTCTAAAGGTTAAGTGTTAGCGCGGAAGACCGAAAATCTTAGGTTCGAGTTTCATGTGAGGGATCGTGGATAAGTACTACTGAGGAGTCCCTCACTAGAACAAAACGGCCGTTCAATGTTTCCAGCCCTTCAATGATGGTCTAAAATTGATCCATTCATTATATGGAAATATAATTGTATTCTTATTTCTCTTATCCTATCTGAACTATATTTATTCAGATCATGAATCTTATTGATGCAAAAGGTTTAGTCTTTATTATTTATCAAAAAATATTCAGTCAAAATTAATTAGAACTCACTGATGATCAATATTACATTCATTGGAAGAATCAATTGTTGTTTTATTGGGATTCTCTAATTAATGAAATAAAAAAATTAAAGTGTAATACTGAAGGTAAGTATTTGTAAAGATTGATTAAATGTATCAATGATATTTGTCACTAATCGATTTCTTTTCTAAGAGTATGGAATAGATGGGTTCGAATTTCGTATACGGAGTCGTGGATACGTGGGATTCACCTAGAAGAGTTGGGAAACCCTGATTCCATACAAATGGTGCACATGGGCTCCAGTATCCTGAAGGAACAAATAACGTATGACCCAGTCGTTGGTCACTGTCTACCATGGGACTGCATCTCCTGATGTTGCTCCACTTGCTTCGGTTTGGGCATCCGAGCAGTATCACAGCCAACACACAAACCGAATTATTTATATGGTGCATATCTATCTGGTGCATCCTTGTACCAATGTTTATGTGTTTGAATAAAATGAAGTGCTCACTTCTGAGGAATCTCATATTGGGACGATACGGCTAACCAGTGCTTTCAGGTTTTTTTAGAGTGGTCTAGCCTTAACTGACTCATGAATCCACAAAGCCCTCTTCTGATAATATTTGGAATTCTTTAAGAAAATCCTACCGAACAATATACTGAGTGTCGATAATAAGGATTTCTCAAGTTCTATGAATTAAGGATATGTTTTCACCATTATCTAATGTCATCTACAACTATCCACACGGATTATTTCATATCTATCTTTCGTTCTTTTTGTACTATATCTACACATAGAATCTTTCCTTTATATTAACACCATTGAGCTAACTGCTTCTATGAATCCCGTGTTCATCTTGATGTGCTTATGAGTTATGGAAACTTGGACCGATGCATATATGTGTCTGGTCCTACGTTGTAATTGAATAACTGGATCCGCTCTAATTCACAACTTGATGAAAACAATAGGTTACGAATACACCAAAGATACTTCGAACGTGATTAAAACTAGAAAATGAGTATTTTTTATTATATCTTGAAGCATATTTTAGAATCACTAGTTCTAATAAACTTCACTTAGAGCCCTTCTAGATTTACTGCCGATCTCAAGCCCGGATATAAGAGGACGGTTGGGCATGGGATTAGTGACTCCATCCTGTAGAAATCTAACTTACTATTGAGTGAAATAGTGAAGGGATACCAAATTTATGTTCAATATTCTTTAATCTCAAACCGGCTTCCATATTCAAACTGACCTTTCTATTTTAACATATACATACTAGTTACTTTAAGATACTATTGCTATACTCACTTGATACTGTTTGATTTGTATCTTCCCATTGAGGTTTAAGACTGCGATTGATCAGTCTCTTATTGGCATATGTGCAAATTGTGCGTATGCCTAGATATTGCCTTAATTCACAAGCTTTTTTAAGCAATGATGGATAGTGGCTAGCAGTGGAATCCAGGACGCGCGTTTCGTCCGATTTGGGACTCGTCAGCTAGACGGGAAGATACAAGTCAAACAATACCAAGTGAATTTAAATTCACTCCATTGCACAAGCAAGTGGCTATCAGGATTCAGTAGCTGAGTGGATAACGTGGTTGCGTTTGAAGCGAATGGTACTGGATTCGAGTCCCAGAGTGAACATCAACTCTGAGATGCAGGCAAATCCGGCTGACGAGTCCCAAATAGGACGAAATGTGCGTCCTGGATTCCACTGCTAGCCACTATCCATCATTACTATTGCTATATTATATAATCTATAGAAATTCAAGAAAGGAGATTGTAACCTACGTTGGTTAACTTGATAATCAATCGGGATTTTGTTGACTGTTCCAGTTTTAGGAATTATTGCTAGTAGATGTTCAGTACGATTTAATTTTGGTAAGAATTTTCTTTTCTTTATAGAAGATTTTTTACCTTGGGATATTGTATTGATAGCAGTAGCATTGATGTTTTCATGGTTTGCTTGGTTTCTATTAAGATAAAAGATAATAATAATAATAATAATAATAATAATAATAATAATAATAATAATAATAATAATAAAGCTGTGTTTGCAGCCAGAAGGTGATAGAACTCGGAAATATGAATCATTCGGTTAAAGCTAAGTAGTTTAAAAGCTAAGCTGTTAGCTACAACATAGAACCAGGCACATACATACATCGGTTCAAGTAGCCACATCATACTCATTAGCACAACAAGATGAACACTGAATTCATAGAAGTCGTTACTTCAGTGGTAGAAATGTATAAAAAAAGATTGTGTATAAAGATATGATGCAGAAAAAAGGGTATAAAGTCACTTAAATCTCACGGCATAAGGAAAGAGAGAGGAGTGTATACACCGACGCTATTGTGATTGATTTTGAGTCATGTCACTCAGAATCTCCAACCAATGGTTACGATAGTCACGCGGACCACAACCACTTGCTGATGAACATTATCTAGTTTCCATTGTCGTAAACGCCGTTTCATACGAACAGAAAATAGACTTTTATTGCTTCCTGGTCTTTAATGGTAACTCAACTGGAATCAATCCGTTAAGAAGATTCAATACAAATGTGACTGGTATTTCGCGAGGTTGACATATATTTCATTTGTTATCCCATGATAACAGATAGAGCATACAGATACGTGTCAACTAGCAGGAATCCTAGGTTAGCTGATGATTGATCTCATCCTCTTGATAATGCACGTATTACATCTCAGGTCAATCTAGCTATTAGTACCAGCGTTATTTGATCAGTACATTCTGTTTCATACTGTAGACTAGGAATCATAATATTTGTTACTAGTCAGCAATAAGTTATTTCACTGGAAATGCTTATAATTAGGAAATAAACGTTTCTACACACTGAACTCTGTAGAGCATTCAAACAATCGCTTTTCCAACCGAAATTAAGTTTGCCATTTCATGTGGATAAGGCTTAAAATATCTAACCAATTACTGTTAACAAACTAGTCATACAATATTTTATGACTGGAATTTAGACTTAGATTGAATAGTGTTTAACCACTGAAACCCTTTAGCTCAACCACTAGCCTTTCTGGGGCTACTGCTGGACCTAAGTCCGGGAAAAAGAGAAGGTCTAGAGATAGGACCAGCAACCTCACCCGTAGAAAACAATCTTGTTAGAAGAAGGATAGTCAGAAAAACAATTTAAAGTGTTTAAACTCTGTCCTGAAAGTTGAAGGATCAATTTTTAGAAAAAATTGCGGCGCTTCCTAGTGAAAGTCGATATTCACCGGAAATCACGAGGCCAATGAATATTATCCAATGTCATATACCAACCAATGATCACAAGTAATGCCCGTTAAAAGGAGCCAAATATATTTCATAGAATGATAGCTAAACTTTACCTGAATAATTTATTTTTCTGCTCAACAAACTTGAGTACAAAAGGTTTCGATTCGTTAAAACCAAAACCACTTTTTTCGTCATGATATAATCTACTATTGTTAACTAAATCGGGGTCCAGTTTGCATTTAAGTACGTTTAAGTTATCTAGTATTCTGGAGGTAAGAGCCGTTGATGTTAAACTTTCGTCATGTCGCTCATATTTTGAAAAGGATGTTCCCACTCGAGTTTTATCCATTATTATTATAGCCGTACTATGAATAAAACAAAGATGGATGAACGTATTTTGATAATTATGTTCACTCATTAAAGATAAATGAATCATTTGGAAATACGTTAATATTCTGATCAATATCAAACACGTTTGCCCCATTTAGAGATGTCATCATCATGGTATTCTGATTTCAGGTGACTTAAATGATCATTAAGCGTAAATATTTGAGTCTAAAAGGAAAGCGTTACCTCTCAAGATCATGATGACTGATTTTACTTGGAATCAAATTCAAGTGTGGATTTCTTAGATGATGTTTTATATTGAAGTAATTCACGTAAGATAACGACGTACAGACAGTCACATATCTTCTCTTTTTACTTTTACGGTTGAACACAAATAAAAGCATGCATGTAGAGGATTGACCTTTATTTAATTAGATACCAAATTATTTCCTGACGTATATTTTAGAGTTAAAGTGGGTAAATTGGGGTAGAAACTGTCGCTACTACGAGATAACTCATTTTACTACAAAAATTGCTGTTCGATAGAACAAATGATCAAAACTCAACAAGTTCAATAGTAGTAACAAGGACGGAATAATTCAGTGATATATAACTGAGTTGTTATTTTTCATGAATTCAAAGAAATATATATATGTCGCAATCTAAGTACCTATTATCTTCCTTAAGCTACAAAAAGACGTGGCTTTTCATCTAGTTATCAGGAAGTTGTCAACCACACTGACAGCAGTAACACTATTCATGTTATTAAATTGGTTGGAGATTAATGACACGATTTTCGGAGAAAATATGGATTAATGTAGTAAAAGTTCTACAAGGTATTTAATGTTATTCAGAAACTTAAAATCTGCTGAAAGACGAAGAGTGAATACATCCCTCCTACTGTAGACAATTCTAAGCCAAATCACCCAAAGCCTTTAACCGTTTGTAACAATAGTAGCGCGGACACGAACCTGTTAGTCTTCATTTTTCTAGTTTTCTCAGCGTAACGGTCAATGAATTCATAGATTGATCATAGACCTTGATTTGAGCACTACTAGACTTCTTTCGGCTTTCTTCTAGACCAGAAAACATCGTGCTCCGAGGTAGGTGGTAGATGGGCACACACAGTATATGTACTAATCAATTAAGTTAAACATAAATATAAAACTTTTTTATCTTTCGAGCCAACTGCTTAATGCAATTCATTTATTTGAAGTCGCTGAGACAAATGAAATTCACTGGAACCACAGGATTACAAATTTATACTAGCAGGAATTTATATATTAAGGATATTATGGATGTATTACAAACCCACGTACATGGAATTGAAATGAATTATATCACTTTTTGAAGTTTATTAAAGATGGATTTGCAGCTAAGCGATCTGCTCCTATTTGTTGGCAGGTATTAACCCATAAACATTTATAATAACTCCAGAGCTAATTTTTCAGTCTAAGAGCAATAAAATATTTTATAGCAAGGCTACATCGTTATTCGCTAGTTATAGAAACTTGAATTTAACCACTGTAGTTTATGGAGGAATGAAATTCTACTTATCGAAAAGTTCTCAATTGCCTTTAATACGACACCAACCTGTTTCCGTCATGTCAAACTCTTTTTAGTGAATTCGCTAAAATGTTTTTGGCTTTGTATACTGTGTTCGTACGCCCTAAACGTGAGTACTGGATGCAAGCGGCTAGCTCCTGCTTAAAAAAGGCAGTGAGCTTTTTGGAAAAGGTTCAGAGAACAGTAACTAAGCTGATTCCCGGAATAGCGAAGCTCCCGTATGATGCTCGACTGGCCAAGCTAAACTTATTCCCGTTGTCGTATCAAAGAACTAGAGGCGATTTGATTACAGTTTTCAAATTGCTTGGTGATAAATTTGCGTCTGATATGTCCTCATTCTTATTGTCTTCCAAAACAGAGAATTTACGAGGACACTCCAAAAACGTTCACAAGCCCAGGACAAATTACTTGTCGACTGACTATCGACTTTCCCATCTAATCATCAACGAGTGGAATTCATTACCTCAATACGTGGTTGAGGCTCCATCTACCGACTCTTTCAAAAGAACTTTGGATAAACTGAGAGACCACCATTGTCAGGACTAACACAGGCCGTCAAGCATCCTGTCCTTTCCAAACTGAAACTGATTTGTGCTTGATTATTTATCAGTTTCCAAAATGAAGTGTGTGATCATATTAACATCATTATGTATGAGTTATATATCGTGGTTATGCTTCAAACGTTTCCTCAGGTTTGTTTCACTATAAACGTTTAGAACGCATATCGTAAATCTCTGCAAACAGTGCCAAGACTTTTCAGATAAAGTGTTATCGTTCGATAATACAAAATGGGACTATGGAGCTCCGCAATGATAAACGTTTTTGTCAAGAAATTCACTAACTAAAAAATATGCGTGTATTTTTCTGTAACTTTTAGTATTGAGCGATATAAAAAGTGAAGTTGAAGAACTATGAATTATCATATGAAGGACGAAAATTTAGGTGAATAAATAATCAATAGTGGCAAATGTTTGTATGATTATACTGTCAAACACAAACATAATTATTTATATTATTCTTGTCATCCAGACTATAATCACCCCGGCGTATAGCATGAACAAAAACAAGCCTTACCGTTGTGTTTTGCGTGTCAAATTCGGTTACTCTGCTAATGACGATTTCATGACAGTTTTCAGTGAAACGGAAATTTAAAAAGGAACCTCTGGACACAGTACTTTGAAATCACCCATAGATTCGATGACCTTGAAAACCACAACTACGGTGGAATGTAAAAACCTTTGTAGGGTAAAACAAAAGCAGTTGCAAATTGGAAAAGACAGAAGGCTAGGTGGCTTACGTTAGTCCTGGAAATGTTCGTCTCTCGGTTCATCCAACATTTTTTTGGAAGAGCCAACAGACTCAGCTTCAGTCATGTACTGAGTTAATGAATCCCACTGGGTGTTGATTTGATGGAAAAGTTGATAGTCAGCTGACAAGCAATTTGTTCTGGGTTTGTTACCTTCTTCGTAGAGTCCTTTATTTATAAAAGAAGAAAAATGATGGCATGTCAAGTGCAAATTTATCATTAACAAATTTGGATACTGTAATCAAGTCACCTCCAGTTCTTCGATGTGTCAATGTGAATCGGTTTAACCGGTCGAACATAATACCGTCGCTCCAACATATCCAAAATTATTTTTAGATGACGTATTAATAAGGAATAATTGATATATTTGTTTGAACGGCTCAAAAAGTACGGCAAAGCCGCAAGAGGTTCTTAAGATACTGAAGAGATTCCATCTAACCAGAACCTGATAGAGCCTTCTAGAATATTAACGTGGCGTGCTACGACTAAATGATTACATAAATTTTCTTCTTGCTGAATAACTGAATTATATCGATGCTATAGCCAATGATAATATCTATAAATGTCCATGTTTTTCTATGAATATTTTACTCTCATCAGTTATTAACTTACCCTACTTCTTCTGTCTTTTGATTTGCGACTGTGGGGTTCGACACGTTCAACTGCTGTTAATTGCATATCGTATTATGCCGTGGTTAGGTAGAAGAAGTAAAAGTATACACTTTTTCATGAAAATTTGACTACTGAATCCATTAGTCGTTAAGAGAAATCTATTACTTCTGATTTTGTACGAATATCATTCTATTTTTGTATTTATTGGATATTTTTGTACTGCGTTGTTTGACAGGTTAGTAAATCTTTACATTGTAAACTTAAGTCAAATGTGTTAAATGTGGTCAACGAATTCTTTTTCCGATTCGAGGAAATCACATCACCACCTAGTGTGTTAAGTCCTGTCGTTACATAATTCATTGTGAGGGGCACATTATGTAACGGATTTATAAAAATGATAATATAGTGCTTATCGGCAAATGATGTCTTCTTATTACGCTGATCCTCGCAAATTGTGGTTCACTCTAAGTCACCGCTATCAGCCGTAACTTGTTGTTCTAGTCACCCATGAATTCCTGTTTGCCCTGCTTGTGGTGGAAAGTTGATTTTCATTCATAAGCTAAAGTTGCTGTATAAATAGAATCACTATCTTTTTTAATTAAGTTCCACGTTCGCAGTTCCCTAACATAATTGTGACATATTTGCAGCCCAGTGTTATTTAATTAGTCATATGCCATTACACAAAATTATATACTTTCCTGAATCTTCAGTGTCCTAACACAACCATAGACAAGTTTGAATTTATCGATCACCGTACAGAGCAAATATGATGTAGTTTTTGTATATTGCTGACTGATATTATAAGCTTACTCATGAAATACATTGTTATTCAAGTATTCTCGTACCCATTCCGAGAAAGATTTCCTTCGTGCATCGTGGTCATTGGTATCTGTCACTCGTGAATGGGGAAAATAAAATTGGTTGCCGCTAATCAGATCTCGGATTAGCTTGACAAGTTGACACAATCAGCCTGAATTCCTTGTATTGTTTCCTTCTAGTTCATCGGACATTTTGAATTCATTGACTCAAACGTTTACTATATATTAGGATATACATAAAGGGTCATGAACAAAAGTATTAGTTGTTTTAGCTTGGGGTGTTCTTGCCGTTTTGTTATTAATGCAGGTTTTCAGAGAGCAAGAACTAATTCATTTTGTGTGCTGTAAGACTGAGAGAAGAGAATTTATTTTATCCATCATTATAGCGTAAAAGCATGTCTTCAGGCTTTGAGTGAATAAGATGGGAATGTTTGATAAATCCACACACCTAAATCGAGCGAGGCCATAAACCGTTTTATTACTGCAATCTGCTGTGAACCTGTAAACAACATAGTCGGTATATGGCTGCGCGAAGCCGGGATAAATCCTAATACTACAAGCGAGAATGCCTATAAGTGAGTAACAAAACGGTAAAAGCTATGATCGCTAAATGTTGTGGATTAATTGAGATTGGACATAAGCGCTGTTGGATATCAGCTACGTAGTCTAACTCCTGGACGTTCACACGCGACATCGAAGGCCTTGAGTTAATGTCGCACATTGAAATGAAGAAGCTGTTCAGTATTTACAAAATTTCAACAATGGTCTAAGATTGATAGGTTCATGATGAAGGAACTGGACATTGAAAATAAAGTTTCATCTTGAACGACAAAACAGTAGTAACGGTTGCGTAATGAAAGTTGCCAGGACGTTCATGCCATGGTAGCCGACATAAATAAATTAAATATGTTCTTTCATTGGTGGCTGCGGAAGTTATCAAATTAAGACGTCATTGTAAATTAGTCGGCTGTTTGATTTTGGTGATTATTCTATCCTATTAATTAACGCTGGTATCAACTATAGCATTGATTTTCACCGGTTTACAAAGCTGAAAGAACATGATGAAAATGTAGAACATGTTCAAGGGTCCTTATCATAGGATTTTACAATCAGTCGAAAATATTTGATCACGAAATTCATACGTTAATTACGTCATTTGCACTCCATCCTTGAAATGTCCTCTACACACTTCGTCATTCCTTCAATCTTTTTGTTATTTATATTGTTCTCTGTTTAACTTTCTATTCTCATGATTTCAAACTTCTACTGGCAGGCATCCTACTTTCTGTTGGTGATTTGTAGGACTGATATCTGTCCGCATAACCGGCCCATTCCGTAAAATGACTGATGTCGTTTAGGATGCTTAGCGAATTTAAAACTCCTCAGAGGACCTCGAAGTGATCTGAACAGGAACACAGTGATTTGCATGCCCAACTGAAATCAAATTATGTGGATACGCAACTATCTTCTATTTCTCTGCGTTGGTAGCTGATCACGATTTGTCTACAGATTCATAGACGTTATACAGCTTTTTTAATCTGCTAGGTTTGAAGCTATCATGAGTTCACTTAATCTGCGAACGAGAACAAAGACTCAGTGACCGAAGACTAGCAAGCTAGCTATTGATGCGTCCCAGCACCGCAGATACAAAGCTTACGTCTAATACTCAACCAAGCCGTTTTAATCCTACTAATACTGCACCATCAGACGATGGTATCGCTAACAGTATCTTCGAGTTTCATTACGATCCAGAATCCAATGTCATGTTTGATATGTTGTTTCAAAGTTACGGAGACTTATTCAAATTAGACTTTGCTAATCAGGATGATGCATGAAAGGTCCGCTTGCTGCTTCGAAAGTTGGGTCTTAGTGAACTAGACAGGTATTGCAACCTAATTCTGCCTCTAAACCCACGCGATCGCTCATTCTCAGACGCTGTCCAGTCATTGAGCCAACAATTCGGAGCCAACTCCGCACTAATCAATGCGCGCTATCGATGTTCAAAGCTCACTATGAAAGAAGATGCTGACGTTTTCACACACGCGAGTATCTTCAACCGAGAATACGAACGCTTCCGGTTGAATTCTCATACGGAAGACCAATTTAAAGCCCTCTTTCTCATCTGCAGCCTTCAATCGCAGAAGTTCAGTGACATTAGAACACGTTTGCTAAGTCGATTGGACCAAGACTTAAAACTAACCCTCAATGATATTGCAAACAAATATCAACGCTTAATCAATCTACAGCGTGACACTACGATGGTCGAGCGTGGTGGTTCAGATCGTTTCGAAGTTCATGTGGTCGAACAACCACCCAACTCGCATAAATCTGCCTCAGTGACATCTAGTTCCGGTCGACAGACAAAAACAAATCCTCCTGCCCCATGCTGGTACTGTGGTGCATGGCATTTTGTTCGAAGCTGTCCATATAAACAACATCGGTGCAGGAAATGCAATGCGGTGGGTCATAAAGATGGTTTTTGTCGAAAAGAGAAGCCGAGCAGCTCCAAAGGTACCAGAAAGCCTACGCCTAGATTTAACATGAATTCATTGAGTATAATAGCAAGCTGTTAGTAGTGAATTCCATTCGAGAGGAAATTTATTAACATTAATATTGATGGACGCCCGTTTAGGTCGCAAATAGACACTGCATCTGACGTAACGATTCTCCCACGAAAATATTGGATCAGAATGGGAAGATCACGCATGATTCCAACAACACAGAAACCTCGAACTGCATGCGGTGATTATCTACGCTTGTTGGGACAACTAGATTGTAAAGTGCCTTTTCACGATTCGTTGTTTACCGGGGTATGCTACATCACACCAGCTGATCTTCATGTGCTTAGTTTAGTCTGATTTGATTGACTACATTTAGCTGACGCTCCGTTAACAACTGTATGCCGTCTGGTAAAACAACCTCATGAACCTGAAGCATATTCGAAAGAACTAATGACAAAGTTTTCAACCATTTTCCAGCCTGTATTGGGTCAGTACACTGCTATGAAAGCAACACTTTTGTTGAAACGTGAGGCTATACCTGTCTTCCGTCCAAAGAGACTAGTGCCGTACGCAGCATTATCAAAAGTTGACGAAGAACTTAACCGCCATCAACTACAGGGAGTTGTTACACCTGTTTCTTATTCTGCCTGGGCATATGAGGACCCAACACTGTTTCTTGGGGGAGGATGAACCCAGAAATCTTAATGTCCGGATTTCAACTCCAGATCTTCAGAAAAGGAGGGGTGTGTTATGCCCCGATATGAATAATAAGTGGTAACTTTTGGGATCCATTTGTAGAACAATACTGTATAATTGTTAATTAACTAAACTACTCTTATCGATTAAATGTTAAATATTTCAATGGCAGTCGATTGACTAACTTATCGATTATATGTTTAAAAATACTTCCATGGCAATATCGATTATATACATATAATTGGTAAATATACGTTTTAAATTGT